GTACACTCCTGCACAATTATTCACAAAAATGCAGATTCCCCCATTTGAAAAGACTTTTTTTTTTTTTTTTTTCTTTTTGACTCAAGGTCTTGCTATGTAGCTCATGCTAGCCTGGAGCTCACTTTGTAGCCCAGGCTGGCCTTGAACTCACGTGACCTTCCTGCCTCAGCCTCCCAAATGCTGGGATTACAGGTGCGCACCAACTTGCCTGGCTGGGCTTTCAATTCTGAAAGCAGTCATGTTCTGTAAAACCTACATGAAAGAAATCTGTCAGTATAAAATGGTGAAGAAAGTACACCAAATGATAAGTTCAAATGTTTGAGCATCTTAAAAATATGTGAAAAAGCATTATAAATACAGGAAAGAAAAAGAAAGAAAGAATGGAAGGAAGGAAGAAAGAAGAAAGAAAGGAAAGGAAAGGAAAGGAAAGGAAAGAAAGAAGAAAGAAAGAAAGAAAGAAAGAAAGAAAGAAAGAAAGAAAGAAAGAAAGAAAAAGAAAGAAAGGCAGTGACATGGCTGATCAATCCCCATTGTTCCTGCAGACAGCAAGCTAACAGCTAACACTTGCACTCCCCAGACAGGCTGTCCCCAAGCATGACGCCAGCTTACCAATCCCTGCCTGAGCCCAGCCAGGTCAGTCAAGCCTGGTTCAAGATATCAGATGCATTTTTCCTCTCTTCTTTCTTGCTTGAGACAAGCTCTCACCACGTAGCCCAAGCCTAGAACTTAGATCCACCTGCTTCCCCCTTCCAGATAACTCGAGTTACGGGCCTGGGTGCGGCTGGGATGCGCTTCCTCACCCATAGGCTTGTGAGCAGCAGGAAAAGGGCTGGCACTTAGAGCCGGGGGTTAAGGTGATCCATCACTAGTGCTGGGAGATCAGCGGGTGCTGCTGTAGTTCGGCCTTGGATGTGGAATGCAGGGCCGTGTGTTAAAGGCCAGCCTGGGAGGCAATGGGACACCAAGGGGGCACTCTGTGAGAGGTCTTCCAGGCACTGAGGGTGTGGCCTGGGAGGGGCTCTCGGACCGCAGCCCGTTCCTCTTCCTGTCTTGCTCACCAAGCCCTAAGGTCGACAGGCTTCCTCAGCGCACGCTCCGCTGTGATGTGCCGCCTCCTGGGGGACCCAAAGGCCACAGGACCAGCCAGCTGCCGAGGGAAATCTTCCCAAGTGTGAGCCCAGATAAGCCTTCTCTCCCATCAGGTCACTCGCTCAGCTCAGCTATTTCTTATGCTGACGAAAAGCCAAGGCGCCTCCGAGAGCGACATGACAAATTAGCACAAATATGTGCGAGAAACATGAAAGCTAAAGATTAAAATCTTTAATATGGAATGAGGCCTTATAAATCAATAAGAAAAACACCATCTGCCACAAGGGAAATGGATAAAGGCCATGCGCAGATAAGTTGTTAAGAAAGAAAGACAAATGACTAAAAAACTAATTAAAAAGCATTAAGCCTCGCGAAAAGAAGCGGTGTGATCCAAACACGAAACTGCCTGGAGGTCCTTGTTACTTATGAAGTTGGACAGCAGTTTTAAAAAGCTCAGTAGTGGTGAGTGCAGTAGTGAGGCGGCCTCTCTCTTACCTGTGGGCGAAGGTGTAAGGAGCGAGCCATTTCTGGAAAGTGATTTGGTGTGATATAGCGAGGTGTGTGGGTCAGGCGCTGGTGGTGTGGAGGGAGGCACTGTTGGGTCCTTTTTGGCCCTGCGTTCACACTCTGTGTGTGACTTGGCAGTTTTTCCCATCAGCACGTGTGTTTTCTTGCACATTGATGTCACCCTTGGTCCAAAGTTCGAGGCATGAACATCCTCTGGGTTTAGGTCTGGTCTCTTGCCTTTTCACCCCTCGAAGAAGAGCTTCCTTCCTCTGTAGAGGGGGTCCTGAGCCTTCAGCCTGGTCTCCTCCAGCCGGGCTCCTCCAGCCGGGCTCCTCCAGCCTGGTCTCCTCCAACTGGGCTCCTCCAGCCAGGCTCCTCCAGCCAGGCTCCTCCAGCCTGGGCTCCTCCAGCCTGGGCTCCTCCAACCTGGTCTCCTCCAGCCTGTTCTCTTCCAGGCTGGTCTCCTCCAGCTTGGGGTCCTCCAGCCTGGGCTCCAGGGTCAACATAGAGGCCTGGGAAGATGGATGGGGTGGAGGCAGAATAGTACTTACAACTTGCCTACTATCCTCCCAAATAGAACCCAAAAGAGGGAAGATCAATCCCCAAATTCATGGACATTTCTAACAAAACCAGGTGAGCAGCTATCCCTGGAAACCCAAAATATAAGCAACTAAACATAAATCCTTACACACGAGATCCACATGCCTTCAGCATCTGGGCGGGGAAGGCAAAAACAAGCAAGGAGGGCTATAACAAACCTAAGACTGGGAGGCCCTAAAAATACCCACCAGGTATGCGCTGGAAGGCTGGCTTTAGCTGAGACTGTTGTGCCTGCCCAGGGCGCAGGCCAGTGCCAACAGGCAGGGCCTGCAGCGAGGGCTGAAAGGCCTGCTGCCTCCAGGACATTCGAGCTCCCTCTTAGGACAGGGTGTGCCACAGAGCCAAGGAAGGTCCAGGTGAAAGTGAGCAGGAGGAGTGTGCCTGCGAAATGGTACAAAACAGGATACCATCACTGTTTTGTACTAGGATGAAGCACAACAGAATAGTTAGGGAGTTTTGTTGTTGTGTTCGCAAGGCAGGGTTTGGCTGTTAGTTCAGACTAGCCTTGAACTCACCATGCCCCACAAGTTGGCCTCAAACTCACAGCAATCCTCCTCCCTCGGCCTCCTGATTGCTGGGATTACAGGCATGCACCACCACACCCAGCCTGAGAATAGGTAAAGTTATTCTAAGCAAAGACCCTGTCTGAAAGTAAAAATAAAATTTAAAGAAACCTAAATTAATATAAAAGCAAGCCACAGGCTGGGGAATATAGTTCAATGCCACAGCACCTGCCTGGCAAGCACGAGGTCCTGAGTTTGATTCCCAATACCAAAAAAAAAAAAAAAAAAGAAAGTGAACCACAAAAGAGTATGAAAGTCAAATCTCATACAAAGTTGTTTTACAGAATATAACAATAAGAAGCAGAACGATATTACTGTAGATAATGAAAGCAAGCTAGATTTCTCTTTTCAAAAGAAAATTATATTTTTAATGAGGGCCGGCCAGATAGCTCAGCAGACTAAAAGTGCCTGCTCAGGCAGAATGCAGAGGCCAGGGTTCGATCCCTGGTGTGCCATACGGGTGCCACCCCCAGGGCACACTGAAAACTGCGAATGAGATGGCCTGGTGGCACATGCCTGGAATCCCAGCGCTTGGGAGGCTGAAAACAGGAGGATCACTATGAGTCCAGTCTACATAGTGTGACCCTGTAGACCCTGTACTAAATACACAAAAAAAGAGAAGAAAATTCTACTTTTAATGAATAAAAATACAGGAATTGTACAAGATATCAAAGAGCAACAAATAAAAAGTAGAAAAATTCAGACCTGAAGACAAATACAGAAATAAAATAAAGGCTAAAATATAATTAATGCAATAGATAAACACACCAAATAATGCCTTAAGAGAAATAAAAGGTGAAAATAGGAACATTTAATTTTTTAAAACATTTCATTTTATTTCAAATATTTGAATGACTCCAACTATTGAATATGGATAATGGAAGTTTCTGAGTAAGAAAACCAGAGCAAGAGTATTGAAGAAATCCTAAATGGTCTGATTGAAGAAAATTTTTCTGTAGTACAATAGATCTTAGGGTACAGATTGAGGAGTGGGCTGTGTGGCAGAGACTGTGGTGCACCAGTGACCAGGACGCATTCTGGACATCAAAGAAAAAGACATAAAAAAATTAATTCTTTGTACAACTTGGCAAAAACCCCATGTGGCTTCCAAGGGAAGGAATATTATCATTAGACATTTTGATTGTAACACATATTTCAAAAGAAAATGGAATAGACTATTTAGGAAGTATAACATTAAAGTATAAAAGGCCTGAGCAAGGGGCCGGGGAGATGGCTCAGTAGAATAAGCACTTCCCTGGCAAGTGCAAGGGCCTGAGTTCAATCCCCAGTTCCACAAAAAAAAAAAAACAAAAAACCTGAACAAGCAGTTCTAAACATGTACATTTGGACTTAAGGACCATTATGTCTACAAGACCTTCCTGAGGAATCTATGAGAAAAAAGCTTCAGATAACCATGAAGTTTCAGAGGCTTTGACACAAGAGCTGGTGGAGAATATTAAATGTAGAGTTACTCTTCGACAAAACCTAAGAATAACAAGGGGGAAAATACAGTATGTGAGGCTTACACAGCTTGACAAGGTAGTCAGAGTACAACTTAAAGTGAAAGGAGAATAAGGGTAGGGATAAAGCAGGCTCATTTTATAAAAAGTATTTTTAGTCATTATGGCTGTTGGTAGCTGTGCTCAGTGCCCCTATTTTGCATCTCTTCTGGATATCATGTAGGACACAGTCAGGGGACAGTCACAGGCTGGTCTATTAGTTCTCATATTTTGAGAACCAGAAGCAAGATTCTTGATGTGGAAGAAGCAGATGCAGAGGCAATTTAAAAGAAATTAAGGAACAACACTGTAGTCCTGAATCTGAATTGGAAATATCACTGTGAATTCATGAAGTGTTTCATCTTCAAAAATTTATTTTCTAGCTCTGTTCACTGAAAAAGTCCCCAAATATATGCCAATTTATCCAATAGCAAAGAGCATCCCTGGAGTCCAAGTTGTGCTAATGAAATGCTGTTTTCTACTAAAAGCAAACCAGAACTTCTTGGAAAGATGGCTGATTACAAATTGGTGCCTGCCCCTAAAATACAAAATATCCCGGAGCACTTTGTCATTACAAATATCATGCTACTAGAGTCATACCAAAATTATTCAAATTAATTAGAAGAGTTTCCTAATTGTCAAAGAGACGACAATCTTAATTTCAATAAGGGCAATAATGCAACGTGTTGCAAAGTGTCTTAATACCTTTCTCTTCTTGCTGAAACAAAATACCTAACACCCAGTACTCGCTTTGGCAGCACATATACTAAAATTGGAACAATACAGAGAAGATTAGCACAGCCCCCATGCAAGGACGACACCCAAGTTCATGAAGCATTCCATATTTTTTGTGGAAGCGTGGTGGACGAGTTCTTCCAACAGTTGCACGGAAAATATGAAGCCCGTTCGTCAGACAAGAACACCATGCATTGAAATATTTTTGTGTTGAGATAAAGCTGCACATTTTACACAGCCTGTTGCTAAAATAAAGGCTTATGGAAAAAAAAAACCCAAAGTCAAAGAGGGAAAGGTTTATTTAACTGACAGCTTCTAGAGGTTTCAGTCCATAATCATCTGGCTCCGAGGCAGGGTGGCACGTGGCAGAGGGGCAGCCTTTCAAGGTGGCAGAAGACAGAAAAAGCAAAAAGAACAAAAGGTGTGTGTGTGTGGGGAGAGCAAAGCTCTTTTCCACCCTTACATGGTAAGCAGGCTACCCACCCTAGGGTGGGTGTAGCACTCACACCATCTCTTGTCCTCCTCTTGCACGGGCTGAGGGTGTTTACAAAGTGACAACCCTGACCCCCAGGAGAATCGAGCTGGAAATGCTGTAACTATTTCCTGAGGCAATGGCATGAAAACAAGAGGTCTAGACTTAATAAGCCCTCTTCAAAAAGATCACCCTCCATGACAGCTTGAGGCTTTGGGGAGACATCCAGACACAAACTGTAACACAAAGCTTCCAACATATTTACATCAATGATTTAATAATACTAAAAAGTAATCACCTTGGGCAAATAACAGAAAATTGATTCCTTCTTTTGAAAATTTGATAAAGATAAGAATAAAGATTCACCCTTATTTTCCTACTGCACAGTCCACTGGTAGCCATTAGGAGGTAAGGAGATGTCTCTGGGTAGTATTAATTTATTTAATAAGTATAATGAACTGAGAATTCTATCACTCCCATTGTGTAGTTCAAATGAATTAATGAATCTAGGAACTGAACATTAATGGCTGCTTATGTTAACTCTGAAAGCCAGAGATTTACTTTGGGATTGAGCATAAATCTGCTTAAGCCTCTAGATCCAACAGCCTAATATCAGGAAATACAGAAAACAATGGAATGTATTGAAGTGTGCCATTAATTTGTAGTCAGGAAAATAGAGTGTGGGAAATTCTACAGGTCAAAAGGTCCACAGTTTTTAGGCTTTGTTTTGTTTTGTTTGAGACGGCTCTCACTGTGTCACCCAGGCTGGTCTTGAACTCCCGGCTCAAGTGATCTTGCATCAGTCTTCCAGTCCCTGGGACTGTAGGAATGCATTATCATACCCAGCTAAAAGGCCCAAATTCTTAAGCAGGTAAATTTTATGGAAAGACATGGAGAGGAAAATTATAGATCGAGATAATTACATACCAAAAGCAATTATAAAGCATAAACCACTGAAAGACTAATCTATGTGTATGGGCATGAATGAATAAGTCATAAACAAATCTGAGGAGGTGGTTACTGTTACAGTCAGAACGCTGTAACATTCTGGCCAATTTTAGGGGAAAGGGAGGACTGAGGTTGACATGGGGCACACGCAGAGTTTCTTGGGGGGCTGGCAAAGTTCTATATCTCAGCCTAGGTAATACTTACAAGGGTGTTTACCAAAACTGCCTAAGATGTGCACTTATTTTATATTGTTTTCTTCTAATTTTTTTTTTAACAATGAAGAGTGAAAACAAAACCCAAGCTAACACCACACATACCTGACCTGAGCCCACTACACACAATGTAGACTGGAGTCCAGGCCGAGGCTAGTCAGCAGGCCTACTCAAATCCAACTTCTGCCAGCCATCTTTGACTAACCTGAGGTATGGACATGAAAAGAATGATTTTTGTCTTCCCCCCTGAGTTCTGGGTAGTTTGTTACGTAGCACTACTGTGGCTTTTGCTGTCCATTACTGTGCCTGCCCATCAGCTATCTCAAACCTCTTCTCATTTTGTCACCGAATCTGAAAAGGCCCTATGGTGCTCATTTTTTTAGCCTCTCTGACAGTTAACAATGGCCAGCAACTCAGTAGTGGAAATAAACTCTCTGGGGAATTCTGCTAAGGGGCTCATAGGAAAGACTTTCTCTCCAAATTAAATAACAACATGGGAAGCTTCTCTCGCTGTCCTGTTTGTATATCTTGTTTTCCTGAATTTTGCTTACATGACATTGTAATGCATGGAGCAATTTGCTACCATGAGTCAGCAAGCACAAGAAAGAAGAGCCAACATCCTGAGCATGTTGGAGCAAAAAGATGAAAATCTGATCCTTGATTACAGATTCTCCCTATCTTTCTTCAGACCTGGGTTATCAAAGCAGTAAATGTACCAATTGTTATGATGCATCGTTTCTATTTTCCTATTACTTGCAGCTGACTTTATATTTTTCTCTACTTAAGCAGCTTTTAAAATGTTCATCATAGTCTTTAACTCTTTAAGTCCCAGTTCCATCAATTTACATAAGAAAATAATCCAAGATACAATCAAAAATATTATCATAGCATTATCTACAAAGAGAAAAACAAAAGACAGTGAAAACATTCAAGATGGGCATGATGGCATAATCTTATAATCCTAGCACTTTGGAAGGTTGAGGAAAGAGGATTGTCCTAGCCTGGCAGCTTAGACCCTATTTCAAAATACAAATATATGAGAATGTAGCTCCATGCAGGGTCCTAGATTCGCCAGTGCCAAATGAATGAATGAATGAATGAATGAATGAATGACGAAATGAATGAATAGTATTCAACATAGAAAAAGACAAAATAAATACCAAAAAGATAATAAATTATACATTCATTAACACCCATGCTTTAGGGGAATGTTTAATGTTGTAGAAAATGCTCATGTACAGTAAAAATTAGAGCTTAAAATATATATTAGTGAAATCAGGCAGAGTAAGGATTTCCAAAAATGAGTGTGTTTAGTTGTGCTGTTGAGGTTCCTTGATGTGCTAAATTAATTCAAAACATTTATCTGTTATGGTTATGTTGATTTGGGGGAAGAACCAGAGTCACAGTGTGAGCTCTGAAGAACAAGGTACAAGAGGACACACTCTCACTTTTTTAGGAGCCTGCTTTCCACTGGGTGACACTCAACAGAAGAATTTATGACACTGGTGATCACACCTTGTAAAGACCCTCAGGAAAAGGACTGCTAGAGCTGCTTCAGAAAGTGGCAAGAATGATGGGACAGGTGTTCTGAAGGTGAGGAGGGATACTAAGAGGTGAGTGGATGGCAGTGTGTCTGTGACTATAATACACCTCAAGAATTTTCAATAGTCACTGTATGCGTTAATCACACCTCATATGAAGTGTTCTGAGCCCTGGACCTGAGTAAGATTCCTCCAGGACCTAAGTGTCGGTGTAGACAAGAAGCCGGAGGATAAAGGGGAGAGTCTTTCTGATCTCAGAGGCCAGGAAAGGGAAGATCCACCCATGGGGACCAAGAAGGAGAAGCAGAACCCCACAAGATTAGGTGGTCCAGAGGCCTAAGAAGAGAATGTCTCAGATAGAAGGACCCGCGGAGGAGACCGAAGACTGGAATTGTCTGTGAGAATGACCACGCTCCTTGTCAAGGGTGGTTCGCCTCCACTGGGGAAGCTGCTTCCAGGAGATTTTCTTCTCTCTCATAGAGGAGCTTGGGAGCAGGCTGCACAGAGCAAGAAAATGTCCTGTGCCCAGTGAGTGCTATTTCCAAGGGCATCCCAAATCCCTCCTTCTCTGACTCTTGCAAGGCCTCGAGGTTGAAGTCACCAGCTGCCTCCACCCTCCACTTAGCTTTCAGCATCACTCTTTGGACCAGGGAGTGTGGTAATTTCGGCTTGTTCCTGCCACCCCAGCCAGCCTGCTGTTTGGGGTTCATCTCCTTGCTGTATCACCTGTGACTGTATCCAAAAAACCTTTTCATATATCACACTCCCACTGTACCTTCTTGACCAAACTATTCGCATCCACTAAATGTCTTCTCCTCTCTTCTCTGCTGACCTCGCTTCTCATCACTTAAATCACAACTTTACATCCATCCCCATTTCCTGCCACCCACAGCCAAACTGGAAAATGTCTATGAGTCATTCTGTAAAAATTCTGAGCTTCAGCTGTGCAGAACACTGTCATCAGCACTACACAGGACACCAATAATTGGGACAAGGACTTAGTCTTCAAGTTCCATCCAAGGCAATTTGGGAGAGCAAAGCAAGACAAAGCACATCACATGAGAGGTAGTAAAGGAAGACAATCAATTGTATTTTCTGTTGCCATCAGGTCATGTTGATACCAAGTGGGAGCTGGGATGCTGGGGATGATGACGTTTGAGAAGAATGAAGATTTAAGTAGAAAGTAAAGGGCAGGAAATTCAGAAGGAAGATGAAGGAAGCCCCCATGACAAAGATGCTAAGGTAGACTTGCTCTGGATGTTTCTGGAACATGAAGCACTAAGGGCAAGGACTGGAAGGGGCATGTAAAAGTGGCGCTGGGGAGAGGAGCTGGGAAGCTTTTGTGGGCATAGAAGTAGGAGGCACGGGCTGGGGAGGTAGCTCAGTGGCTCACGCGCCTGCCTGGCAAGCAAAAGGTCCTGAGTTCAATTTCTGGTACCACAGAAAAAGAGAGAGAGAGAGAGAGAGAGAGAGAGAGAGAGAGAGAGAGAGAGAGAGAGACAGAGAGACAGAGAGACAAGAAAGAAGAAAGAAAGAAAGAAAGAAAGAAAGAAAGAAAGAAAGAAAGAAAGAAAGAAAGAA